TCATGCAATTACCTATTTATTTTACACAGAAAATGGACGATTGTATCCATTTTATTCAGTTAGTTCTTTACTTTGGGTGCTACAACAAAAAAAAGAACACAATTTTACTAAACATAATACAATATCTAGATATTACCTGTAGTGAGAACTATAAAAAAAAGTTCGTAATTTAGATCCAACTATAGCGCAAATAATACTCAACGATTATGTAATGTGTGACAATCAATGCCCCCTGGTGACATCAGACAAATCAAAATATATATATATATGCACTTAGGAAAGGTTATGACAACAAAGACGGCAATACGTGCTATCCCGAGTGTACGAAGAGATCCCATTACACGCTAGTTCATCCTAGCTGTTCGTGTTAAATCTTCAATATTTATACCAAATAATTAATACAAAGTGGTGTTAATCACCATAGCAATTTCACACGCTTAATGCAAGTATATACACGTACACGATCTCACAATAAATTACGCGTATTTAAGATACATTTGTTTTATTTATAGCAACATCAACCGTTATTCTTCGTTCAGTCCAACACTGACGTATGAAGATGTTTGAAGTGTTTTTTTTTTTCGTTCCTTTCTTTTTCTTATTGAGACATCAAACACCCGTTCGCATATTTTGACACTGAGAAAGTAGACTCATGCACCTTAGTGTCTGGAATGCATTTCACTAGCTTTATAGCACGTCAAACCATGCTTCTTATTTAGCTTACTCATTGGTTTGTTTGTTACGGATTTCGCGCAAAGCTACACAAAAAGGCTATCTGCGCTAGCCGTCCCTAATTTAGCAGTGTAAGACTAGAGGGAAGGCAGCTAGTCATCACCACCCACCGCCAACTCTTGGGTCACTCTTTTACCAACCAATAGTTGGATTGATCGTCATATTATAACGCCCCCAAGGCTGATAGGGCGGGCATGTTTGGTGTAACGGGGATTCGAACCCGCGACCCATAGATTGCGAGTCGAGCGCCCTAACCACCTGGGGGCCTGGCTTACTCGTATACGATTCGCTACACTACAAACGGACGGACAAAACATTTCTTATTCAAGCACTAAGTAGTGGTAAAAACAATGATTACTTATATGAACTCCACCCCGTAAAAACCAACCTGCTACAAGTAACTGCAACAACACCTTTCGTTGGCGAGGTGTTGTTGCGGCCCTATGCTCCACTGGGAGTTTACAGGAATAAAAAAAAATACCGAAGAAATATCAGGTTCCGTATAATTGAATATAATTGTTTAAAGATATTATATCCTGATGGAGATATTAACATATCCTGACGGAGATTAGGTAATAAATCATTTGAATTTCGTCAAATTTTGATGTAGTATTATCAGATAAAGTGACCAATCAACAACAACAACAACAAAAAAGAAACGGTAAAGTAAGTGATAGAAACACCCTTCCCAGTTAACATGAACATAAGGTTTACTGCCTTTAATTCAAGAGCGACTTGCCTTGTTCTCATTATTTTCAGACAGTATGGTTATTGCGGTCGTTCCATTATCCGCGAGAGACGTTACAGCCATATTCAGCATGTGCTTCTTTAAGTGTGATAACGACTTAAGTAGCAGCCATAACTATACCACACTGGGGTTCTCCCAACTTGATGCAGTGGTGACGTCTACAAGAGATTGTGTCTATGGACTTCGCCGCTGTGCCAACACATACCCGCCGAGCCGAAGATTTATTACGGGCAGCGGCGTTAGAAAGATTTACAACATATTAGTGCAAATGTGTCTCGTCGCTAGTCATAACCACGGCAAGCAAAATATAAATCAATTTGTAGGCTTAAAAAGCAACAAGAAGACGAGCATTTAAACGATAGATCTGCCTGCTTAGCATGTTGACAGATCACGTCACCGTAGTCTAAAAAAAAAACATAATTTACAAACGTTTGGTTTCACTGACGTCGTCCATTAAGAACATCCAAGAAGGCACAAGCGCGTATCTATAGAATAGAACAGTAGCTTTTAACCTAAGATAGCCTGTAAAATGACAAGCAATCCACGAGCCATAGCCAATACAAAGACGTAATGTACTCGAACAGCTGTTATTATATGTATAAGCTTTATTGAAATAATCAACGTTCTCATACAATCAAAGTTTAGTTTTACATTCGTAAAGTCTTTACATCTAAACTTTCAAGAATAATGTAAAAGTAGAATACACTAAATAACTTAAGAATAGTATAATACACAAACGAAACGATCTACCTTATAACGAACAGTTCCGGAACCAAATATAACGAACAATTTCAAAACTAAGCATAATAATAGTTCCATAAGCAATTACAACGAACAGTTCTACAACTTAAGTTAATTTGTAAGGTTAGTAATTTACAATTGAAATTAAAAGTTAGGTTATAAGTTTCTACATTTTATTTAAAGTAAAGACTAACTGTAGTTCATATATTATTCTGAGTTAAACGGATATACAGCGCACATGCGCGCACACAAACACAATATATATATATATATAGATAGAGAGAGAGAGGTTTTGATTCAAAAGTTTCAGAAATAAGTAAGCACTAATTCACACCTCTTCAATAGTTACAATATTATATTCCATGACTCTATTAATGTTTATCCACACTTGTATCGTCATTCATTTCGTGAGTTTAAATCCTGACCGGTTATTAAATATCAGAGGTATTTTTGATAACAGCCAGATTCAGAGACAGTCTGATGATCAGCCAATCACTAGTCTCAAAACCATAACGTATTGGAGAGTTTGACATACGTTGAGGACGAATCGCTTTCGAAATTAATCTGTAAGAATTAGTAAGTTGTAAAAAAGTTGATAAAATGAAGGGCAGTTTCAGGTACGTTCAACCGTTTCGCTTTCAAAAGTCATTTTTAAGCTTTAAAGATTAACAACTTTAAAAATACAAAGCTTATATATTGAAGGGCAGTTTCAGGTACGTTCAACCGTTTCGCTTTCAAAATTAAAGTGTAACGATTAGCAATTTACGTTGTAGTTATAAGTTCAAACACTGGTGGAGCAAACCTAAAATTTACAGAAGAAATGAGATTATAAGAATTGGTAATATAATAATACTTATATACATGAGCGAACATTTTCAAAATTTAGGTGAGACAAATAACGCATACTAAAAGTAGAAACATTACGTTTACACAAATCAATAGATGCACCAAACATGACAAGTAGTTTAATCTACAGTGTGTATTAATGAGCGATTGTTCGCATAGTAAATTCATGAGGATATGTATGAAATTAACTGGAGAAATTAAACAGACAGAATTCTTTCTAGTGTACAAGGTGAGTCAAAAAGATCCCCCCTCTGGAGATAAACGAAAC